CATGCCGAAGGGCCCCCCCCCCAAAAAAAAAAACGGCCCACGGAGTTAAATTTCGGTTGGTTTGAAGCTTGACCTTTTGTCAATCCATGGTAAAACAATTATTTCGGTACCAGCTTAATTTTCAAAACATTTATATTTTTACGCTAGCATGTTTTTTTCTCAAATGCCACTCAGAGCCGGTACACATACCTAATCATTTAATTTATTACGTAAAACATTTCATTAATAAACATTTTTGCAAGTCCCTCAGAAATCAGCCCCGGGCAGCGACTGACTGCCGGCCGGCCGACCGGCCCCGGGTGGCTAGAAGCAGGGGCCGGTCACTGTTTGGCCCGGATGTGTAGGCGCGGGAGCAACACTCCTTTTTCACGTATATTCGCAGATTTTTTTTAGGCACATGACATGAGATGTCATTATATCTGATACGATGCGGGATCACAGACTAGAGATCCAGCTCGTAACTTATATTTAATGTTTAACCGATGAATCAAATCAACAGGACTATGTACGATGCATGTCGGGCATGTACCCAGAATTTCGCCCAAGAGGGGGTCACCTGCTGGTTACCTGACCCCGGGCCCGCGAGTCACCCGGGGCCCGGGGTCAGCTCAGGCAAGGATGTATCCAGGAGTCCAGGACCTTTCGATGGGAGGAGGGAGGCACGGTGGGTCCAGTCTCACTGGCAGACGGGTCTCTTTAAAACGGTCTTTGCATGAGAAAATGCGGAAAATTGGCAAGTAAAAGTATCATTTATGCCCGAGGAGTGTGCCTTATGCACACTAATGCCTAATGTACATGGTATTTTACGAGCGAGCGAAGCGAGCGAGCTCCTCAGAGTCACCGGTGTGTGGCGCACTCAGAGGTGCCAGTGAAAGGCCGTCAGATGCGCTGGTGTTGGGTCCTCACAGGCGCCGTTGCGGGGTCTTAGGGCTTAGAGACACTGGTGGGGCCATCATTGGCATGTGTGTGGCCCTGCAAAATGGCCTGCAAGTGGAAAGTGGCCCTTCATAGGCTGGCAAGGACACTCAGAGGCTGGTAAGAGGCCCTCAGAGTCACTGGTACGTGGCCCTCAGAGGCGCCGGTGTGGGGACTCTCAGAGCCGCCGATGTAGGCCCTTAAGATGCGCTGGTGGGGGTCCCTTGGAGGTGGCGCGAGGGGCCTCGCAGTTGCCGTTGTGGGTGCCTTTAGAAACACTGGTGTGGGCCGTGTGTCTATCACAGACGGATGTGGAGCCATAGCAGCCAATCCCTCGTTGGCCGTTACTAGGGCCCTGAGCGGCCGGCGAGGTCTCTCAGAAACCGGCATTGGGCCTGTATGAAGATAATTGTGGCTACATAGGAGCCAATAACGTGCCCCCACAAGCCCTGTGGTGTCCTTCAGAGTTGAAGTGCGGCCAGCGCGAACTCTCTGCTACCAACTGGCGCCGCAGGGCCCCTCGGTTTCGAAGGAACCCTAAACCCGAGAACGGGCACGTACCCCCTCGCTCCCTTGCTATGTCACTGAATCCAAGTGATCAGGGACCCTTTAGGTAATCAGGGGCGTTTCAGATGACCGGGGGTTTTCAATTGATCAGGGGTCCTCCAGGTTACCATGGGCCCCTCTGGTAACCAGGCCTTAAGGGGCCCTCAGATGACCTCAAAGGGCTCTCAGGTGGCCTTAAAGGGCCCTCAGATGGCCTCAAGTAACCAGGGACCCCATCAATAACCAGGGCCCCTCAGTAAAGGGGGGCCACTCAGGTAACTGTAGGAGTCCCGCAGATAACCAGGGGCGGCAAGGTTTCTCAGGTCCGTTTTTGACAAGGCTCTTATTGACTCAGGTGCGAGCCCTCTGCCATCAGCAGAGGGCCTTTTCAAGCCTTTTGAGGGCCGTTTAACGTCTATTGAGTTCCCATTGAAGCCTTCTAAGGGCCCTTTGAGCAGTCGAGTGGCCTTTGAGGCCTTTTGAGGGCGTCTTGAAGTCAGCTGAGGGCCGTTGGACGCCAGCTGAGGACCGTTTTTGGGCCTTCTGATGGCCATTAGACGCCAATGGATGACCCTCTGACACCAACTGGGGCCCTCTGACACCAGCTAAGGGCCCTTTAAGTTTGACGCTAGCTCAGGGCCCTCTGACATCAGCTGGGGGGCCCTCTGACGCTAGCTCAAGACCCTTTGACGCTCTTTAAGGCCTTCTGAGGGCCCCTTCAGGTCTTCTAAGGGCCCCTTGAGGCTTTCTTAAGGCCCCTTGAGGCTTTTTGAGGGCCGCTTGACGCCAACTGAGGACCGCTGGACTTCAGCTGAGGACCGTTTGAGGCCTTCTGATGGCCATTTGGCGCCAGCTGAGGGCCATCTGGCACCAGCTGGGGGCCCTCTGACACCAGCTAAGGACCCTTTAGGGCCTTCGGAGAGCCGTTTGACGCAAGGGCATGGCCCTCTGACGCCAGCTCAGGGACCTTTGACACCCTTTAAGGCTGTAGATATAAAACTTTATCGGAATTCACTGGGATTGTATTGCGTATGCAAGTCCATGGACTTGCATACGCAATACAATCCCAGTGAATTCCGATAAAGTTATAAAGTTTTATATCTACAAACATAAACCTGGGAAAAATATGACTCTAAAACACAATTTAAGGCCTTCTGACGTCCGTTTGACGTTAGCTGAGGGCCCTTTGAGGCCATCTGAGGGCCCTTTAAGGCCATCTGAGAGCCCTTTGAGGTCATCTGAGGGCCCCTTAAGGCCATCTGGTGCCCTTCGAGGCCATCTGAGGGCCCTTTGACACCATTTAAGGGCCCTTTAACACCATTGATCTAAGGGCCCTTTGACACCAGATGAGGGCCCTATGACGCTAAGTGAGGGCCCTTTGAGGTCATCTGAGGGCCCTTCGAGACCATCTGAGGGCCTTTTGAGACCATCTGAGGGCTCTTTAAGGCCATTTGAGGGCCCTTTGTACACGGGCTTCGGTGGTCTAAGGATTAGTTAGAGGCCCATTTGAGGCGGCCTTCGGCCGCCTCAAATGGGCCCCTATTCCTTCGACTGGGCCCCCCAACTCGAATGGGGGGGGCACGGGCCCGTGTGCCCCCCCCTTGTGTGCGCCCTTGGTATTCTGTGTCAGTTGTTACAAAGTTAAAACATGGGTGGGAAACTTGTCAAAAAATATCATAGCATCACAGTAATCCCATACCTTTGGTCTGAAGAGACGGTTGCAAAGCCGGAAGGATGATAGGAATTAGGGGAAGACATTCATGGTCTGGGCGCGGGCACACTGGCTGCCTGACCTGCCTAGTGCCTAGTGCCTGCTGAGTTGCTACTTGCTAACTAGCCGCAGTCAGATTGGTCACTAGCGCCCCCTCTAACAGTCGAATCCGGCAAGCGGTGAGTGTAGCTGAACAGAGGGCGCTGAGGAGCCCGGAAAGTGTACATACGGCAGTGTTCGCCACGGGCCGCAAAATTCCAGTCCAGCCCAGCTCAGGCCCATGGGTTCACAGCCAGGCCTAGCCCGAGCCCATTCATGGTAAAAACGCCAAGGCCCAACCCGGCCCAGCCCGTCAAAAATGAATGGATTAAAAATTATCGACACCACACACTTGACACTACACAGATATCCAAAGGTAGCAAGGAATAATAAGTCTTTTGCGAGCAGCATGCACAATGCACATTGCATGCGTGCTTTATTAACTCGTTTTTGAGTCTTGCACAGAAATAAGCTATGTAGTTATAGTTTTTGTCTCAGTTGCGAGCCCCTGACTCCACTTTACTTCTTGGCGTTGGCCCAGCCCATCCACAGCCCATCGATCCTTCACATTTGAGGGCCCAGCCCAGCCCGTAGCCCAGCCCAGCCCATGGCCCATTGGGTTGGCCCGGCCCATGGTGAACACTGGTGTACGGCCTGTGCACTTCCGAGTGGCCTGTGTGGCGATCGGGTTTGTTTTTGTTTGCTTGCTTTTTTTTTGGTTGTTGTTTTTTCGCTGAGAGCAAGTTCTTTCGGCCTAAGAAGACCGTTGCAGAGCTATGGGATGTTAGGATAGGGCGTAGGCCGTAGACATTGGACTGTACGGGACACCGACTAGATATGAGCCGCGGAGGCGAGACCGTCCCTATGGAACCGTATTGCCCCGCTGGGACAGTCCGTCTGCCTCCCAAATGGTCACCCCGGAGAGGGCTTTCAGTCCCGATGGGGACCCGCCCGACCTCATCCACCGGCTCTCAGCTGGGCCGTGAGGTGACCGCTAGCTTGGAGATGGAGCGTGAGGGGGCGATGCGGATAGGTTTGTCCTGAGTATGGCGAGGACGGATGGCGATCATGTGAATGACATTACTTATAAAGAGATGAGCTTACGAGATGAGTGTGCATCTGGCCTGGACTAGTTCTTTTGTCATAGTAATTTCTTACGTTGAAACAGTCACGATAGCTCATAGCTGTCCCATCACTAAAACCATAAATTCTAAAAAGATAGTTTTCCTACACTAGGCCCTCATTACCCCCACCGGCAACCGAATGGCTCCGTCACACCCAATGAGGCATTCCGCCTCCCCAAGGGGCATCTCCACTATTTGTCGATCCGCTATACAGAGATGTTTTACGTTTTACCATTGACCTATAATAAGACCTATGTATACTTATTATAGGTCAATGCGTATTACGATGCAAATCACATCATCAGAAATCTTCTTCAGCTGTCTCGAAACACTTGTGTATGTTACGGCGACCCCCCACCCCCACCCCCACCCCTCCATCGAACACATTTTTATGCCTATCAATGGCTTTCACAATCGATCATGATTGTTCGTGGCCGAGAATATCCAACCGACAACCGACACTAGTGTCGGTTGTCGGTATGTAGTTACATAGACGAGTGCTGCCAACTTTTGAAAAGGTAGAAAATCTTCAGATTTTTCAGCTTCCGCCATGCAATGATGAAGCGGCTTATCTGGCATGAAGTGTCTCCAGAGTACCTAATCTGGTAAGTGTTTAGCCCGTTTTGCTCGCGTCACTCTCGCTCATCACCACCAAACGCACTGCCTTTTTTCTGGTCACAAGACGACCCTTTTAATTAGTAGAACATTTTATTGCATTGTTCATTATATTACAACTGCATAGCATGGATAAGGTCAAGGAGCATGTTAGCACCTGTGCTAACGTGTCCGGGTAAGCAAGGAGGGAACATCTGCGGCATACATGGCATTTGGGTATTTGCAGTTTGCACCTCGTGCAGTGCCTTCCTTTCATCGTTTTTTTTCTCTGCATAGAAAGAAAACTTAAAACTTTCACGAGAAACATTTGTTTAATCTGTACAGCATGACAAAAGGAAGCTCCCCCTTTCAGAAGCCGTCGTGAGTTTGGTATCCATTTTTTCGGCACGGCTCGGCACCGTCTGACACCACTTTGGCTTCTATGGGTCCGCCGGCCTCCGACAATGTCCCCCAATTCCGCCATTACCTACCTATATATTATATTTTATAAGGGTCTGCACCTCAATTTGAGAAGAAACAAATTAAATTCTAAGATGAAAGTTTGCCATGAAGTCGGGAGCTCGTGCAATAGCATGTTCGAACTCCATGTAATTCAGCTTTTGGTCATCGTCAATGTCGGCCTCTTCCAGAATCTTCTGACAAATGATGTTGACTTCCTCCTGGTTCAGATCGTCCCTTGTTAGTGCGTAAAGGGCCGACTCCAGATCGCTGACGCCCACAGCGCCGTCCCCATCGAAATCTGCCGGGGAGACACGTCCGATCGATAACTACATGAAACTACATGATAGGATATCGCACGACATCAAGATAGTATAAAAGTCCGGCGATCATACATGGCGAACGCACCTCTCACTTCTCTAGAGTGCAACATCCTACCGCGCACGGGACCGTTCCCTCAAGGGTAGAAGCGTTCACAAGCCCAAGATTATAAGGCTTGTTTTGACGTGAAAAAGAACGATTATTCTACTCGCAATCTGGAACAAAAACCCAACTCATTCTGTGTGACACGTCATCCCACATGTATCATGTCAAGACCTATAAAAAGCTTATATGACTCTTACCTCGTTCATTATTTTATATACCTGGTTATTTGGGCCTGTTCATCGCGTTACTTATTCGTACTTAAGCATTACAAGCACGACTAACGTTTGTAACCGGCATTCAGCCATGCTTCTTAGTCTACAAACGATTTAATACTGGTAACCCCAAACAAACAAGCAGATCAATGCTTACCAAATATTTGAAAGGCATAGTAGAGCTTCAGATCTCGGGGTGCCTCTTCCGAAAGTGCGGACAGCATGTTCAGAAAGTCATTGAACGTAAGGTTGCCTGACTTGTCCGCAGAAAATACCTTGCAGATCCGCCTATTGAATGGATTTTCCTGTGAAGAAAAGCTTTACGTTAGATAACGTGGATTTAGTGATAATATTATTCCAGCTTAAAAAATGTGTGAGAGAAAGAGAGAGAGAGAGGGAGAGAGAGAGAGAGAGAGAGAGAGAGAGAGAGAGAGAGAGAGAGAGAGAGAGAGAGAGAGAGAGAGAAGATGGAGGAGATACGAACCCGCAGTTCCGGCATCTTTTCCACGTATTCCAGGGGCACGGAGCACGACTCCGGCTCCGTGGAGGTCATCACCTTGGGAATGACGTGGGGTGCCAGCTCGCGGAATCGCTTCTGGGCCCGCAGAATCTCCTTTCGAGTGAAGAATGTGCAATCCTGTAACCTCAATCAATGTCAACTTTTTGTGCTTTATTGGTCGCATTCAATCGCACCGATCTGCTCAGCTCGGTTGTTGACAAGTGGTGCCAGTTTCAGAAATTGTATGTCCAATGTCCGTTCAATGTCGGGTATTTTCGTCGACTGTAGGTACGGCTCTCGCGAGATTAAGCGGTAGGTTTTTCCCTTTTACATTTCCGGTTATATCTCAGAAACTAATCGATCTACGATGAAGCCACTTTAAACGATCATGGCAGGCTTGTAAACGAACAAGTCTATCGCATCTTCAACACTCAAAAGTTTAAGACGACCAAGATATAGCCTAGAGTATACTAAATTTCATAGACCTGCAAAACCTGCCGCTAAAACCCGCGAGACCTATCTCGCGGTCGCTACAGGTCTCTCGCGGTCGCGCGAGACCTGTCGCGCGATCTCGCGGAAAAATGTCCAAGGAAGGCATTTGTCCAAAGATGTCCGCAACCTGCGCTATAGTCTACACTCACACTACTATTTAATTTGCTTTTAATGTACTATTACGAGTCCAAAAGTGTTAACCTTATCGAGAGCTGAGCCTTCTAACTATTCGCCAATCAATGCTGCACACGCGATTACTTTAGGTATAGAACTGCTTAGGTGTAGCAAATGATTGTCCAATGTTGTCCAAAGCCTCCTTCATTTGTCCAACGAAATTCCGAATTGGACAGTGGACAAAATCGGAATTCCGAAGGTCCAAGTTCCGATTGGATCCACTAGTGTTGACCTCATGTTGAAGCCAAGTCAAGGCCGGTCAGGCCTGGCCTGGGTGAGCCCACCGGCAGGGCGCAGGCGTTTAATATATCGTGACACAAGGTTATGTGTATGTAACGGAGTTTGCCAACAAGCCATCCTCACACACTCATCTAAGTACTCATCTGCGGAGCAATATTGGCTACATTAACCGTTTTCACATCGGCCATCTGGCACACATTTGATGTAGATTTGGTGCAGATGCTTTTGCAGTGCAGTGTGCTTTTTTATCAGTTGGGACTGCACAAACGCTTATTATACCTCATTCTTTAACCCGCGCACCGACGGGGGTCTGCGCCAACTTCGTACCGACGGGGGGGGGGGCGGATGACCGCCCCCCCTGAGATCTCGAGAACGAAGCAAGATAGCTACAAGCAGTAAACGACATCGGATACGCACGGCCAAGATCTACAATTTTTACTAAGGTCATTTTCAGGTCAGGTCAAAGATGACGTCACAGGGGTCGAAAAAGTCAAAATGGCGGCGCTAGATATGGAGAGAGTTTTTCTCGAATAACTTTCGAATTAGTCAAGATAGGAACAAACTAAGAGCATCATCGTGATCCTCTCGTCAATCCGCATCGAATGATATATATGTTGACCTCGAAAGGTCAAGGTCAAAGGTTGACCTCAGGTCACGTGACCTCGAGGTCATCATGCATATCATTCGATGCGTCTTGACGAGCTGAACACAATGAGACCATCCACGCGTCTGTATCTTGTTTCTGTACGGAGTTATTGGCCAAAAACCTTTGGTGACCTTTGATGACGTCACATGACCTCACAGCTGCCCAACAGCAAAACAGACCTCAAGGTAGTGAAGGTTGATCGTATATGAAGTCATGTATGGTATATGGGGCCATTCCGACCCGTTTTAGTGGTAAAAACAGGGAGTTGATTTTTCCCCCATTGACTTATAATGGGGAGGTCGCGAAATTGACCTGACCTTAGGTCACCGATATCAAAATTCCGAGATATACAAATTGTAGCTACTAATGACCTAAAAATATCCTGCGACTTTCAAAGGCCTCCGACATCTACTGTAGCTCTGGCACGGTGACAAAGTTGCAAAAAAGAGACTTGAGGTTGGGTCATTCAAAGTGACCTGGTGACCTGACCTTAAAAGGTAGGAGGTTCAAACTTGCACACCATGTGTAAAAGTGATGAGGTTATAGTCATACCAAATTTCGCGGCGCTACGCGCCGCGGTTTTCCCGCTATTCGCGAAAAACCTCAGGGGGGGCGGATATCCGCCCCCCCCCCGTCGGTGCGCGGGTTAAATTATCAGACATAATGTTCGATTAAAACACTGAAATGATTAATGAATCCATGATCCGAAAATACTTATAGTGAAAGACTTTTCAATTTGGTCAAATTAGGTGTATTCGCCAGGTAGCCCGGCTATATTATTGCCCGGCTTTGGAGCCCAATTGGCGAAGAAATATGGATTTAGATCGATCACCCACAACGCGCTATTGGGCTACCAAGGTAAGATGCATTGCACAGAATGCCATAGAAAGATCAAGGTCAAGGCCAGGTCGGGTCACCAAAGACGATCTAGGGGAAGCGGGGGGAACACCGCCACTGTGGGAAACACCGCCACCCCATCTGGCGGCGAAAGTATGAAATGTGAAGTGTAAAAGTCCGTTATTTCCTATTAACCGCACGAAGGTAAGCGTCTTCTGATTTGTGTTCCGGTGTTTCAGTGTAATCGAAGCTCAATGTGGGCATTTAAAGAAAAATGCACATTCTCTTATAAAAATTCGATGAGTTGGGAGCGTTTTTGAATGTCTTTAAGTAGAGCCTCATTTTGATTTACTTGATTACATCGAAAAATAACTGATCGGCTTTGTCCAGTAAGAAAGGTTTGCTTGAACCGTGTAGTACATTCTTGCCGCTGGCGATTTTTGCTTGTGATCACTTATTGGGGAACACCGCCACCCCGTGGCGGTGTTACCCCGATTGAGGTTGCGGTGTTTCCTGTTCGTAGCGTGATAAGTGACGAAACTCCAAAGACACGCTTCATTTATGTTCGTAGATGTTCCTAAGTCGGAAATAAGCAGCTTATTTGATTTTTTACTTTATATTTTTCATGCATCCCGACCAAGCACTTGCCAGCTGTATAAAACTGGCAAACAGCTGATGAACCTATACCTATTTAGGTGTCCATTACCGATTATTTGCGAAAATTACCACTTACCGACAGGAAACTCATCGCACGCGATCTCTGAACAATTAAAAGCTTTCGTAGGAATGGGTTGGGTTAACATCAACACCGGTGGCGGGGTTACCCACACAATTTGTAGGCGGCAAATATGCAAGGTATTTTTAAAAGTCGTGATACATGAAAACCTTTTAGGAGCATGCAAAATAAGTACCTAAAACACGTGAGAAAATGTTTAAATATTGTAACCAAGACAATAACTACCAAGAGACTTCACACATATTCTCTCATTTTGGCGAAAAGCTTAGGGGGGCGGTGTTACCCCCGCTTCCCCTATTGAATAGGCATTGTGCAATGTGAAGCACTTGTTTTATGGGTCATTTCTCTCATAGAACTCAAATGGACATATTGAATTTGTGATATATTTATGGACCATATTTGGGTGATGTTCAATGCGAGGTCATGTCAAGGTCAAGGTCAGGTCAGGTCAAATCAGGTCAAATTGTATAGGAGCAATGCTGCAGTAGCCAAAACAAGCAGATTCCTTTCAATTTTCAAGGTCCTGAGGCCAGTTTTACCAACAGAAAAATAGCCGCCAGCCGGAATTTTTTGCCTAAAGACCGCTTCACATACGGAGCGTTCACATACGGTGATCAGCGGACCACTTACCTGGTAGTTGTCCAGCTGGTCATCGGTGAAGGTGGCTACTTTGTTGCCCATGGCTGGACGTCGGCACCGGTGTCGGCCGCCGCCCGGCCCCGCCCGGTCTGACGGCAGGTCGACCGAGGACCACGCCTGTCCATCGGACACCGGCGGCCGACGAGCGCGCACGCATCGCCAACAATCGGCTAATGGACCCGACGGCGCAGCGGTCCGCGTCACGCGACAGAGCGGCCAACGACACCTGAACAGTCTTTCAACCCGCGCCCCTTGACCTAATCCCGGGCCATGCCATTAGTATGGGGGGGGGGGGGCGTTTCCCTCCTAAAATCTTGGAAAGTCACCCACCCATTTGCAAAATTCCAATGACATTCGATAGCGGATAGCCCCACCGGGGAACTACCATGTGCTCAAATTTCATTGACCTAGGTGCGACCGATGACGTTATAGGTCAGGTCAAAGGACGTATTTTTTCACGGCTTACAGGTCATCTAAGGAACATTGAGCAGAAGGATATCGAGTCATTGATATCGAAATCGAATCGAAATCATCGATAGGGCGCTGGTTGCTTATGCATAATACGTTGCTGAATGAAGCCACTGATACCGGGTCAGGTTACAGAGGTCAGGTCACTAAGGGTCACAATGGCCGTTTTCACGACGGCCCTCTGGTAGACATTTGGTGCAGATTAGGTACAGATTTGGACAAATTAGATCCAGTGTGTTGTCACTTAAAAGTTATCAGTTTGGGCTGCTCAGATGCTTATATAACTCATTTCTCAAAGCAGGGGCGCGGGAACTACTTTCCGACTGGGGGGGCACACCATAATAGAGATCAACCTAGGGTACCCCCAAATCTAGTTTTCTCACCGGTTTTAGGCCACTTGTTTTTCATCCCTCGGCTTTTTCAACAAAAAAGAAAACATTTGCAAAAAAAAGTGTGGTATTCCGTCTCAAAGCTGTGGGGGCACCGCCCCCACGGCCCCAGAGTTGGGGGGCAAGCTGCCCCCACTGCCCCCCCGGCTCCCGCGCCTATGTCTCAAAGTATCAGGCATTATTTTCGATTAAAATTCTGAAAGAAATGCATAATAGGTACGATTTACGAAGATATTTATTGTAAAAGAGATTTGGTGCAGATTTCACCAAATTAGGTGCATTCGCTGCAGATAGCCCGTCGTGAAAACGGTTTTTTTCTATGAAAAGGCCGCTCCGAAACCCATTTTGTTTGCGTGAAAATGAAGATTTTACAGAAATAACACCATCCTAGTTTTTTGCATGTCGATTTGCAATGACCTGAAATTTATTTGGAAAAAATGCAAAAAAATTGTTTCCAAAGGTCAATAATAACAAATGAAAAATTACTACTTTGATTATTTTCTTTCGGTTTGATTATGTTTGATTCAACAAATGATTATTTTCTTTCGGATTTTTAAAGAGTCACATGAAAGGGACCCTCCCACCTTCAAAAAAGTTAATGAATTGGCATGAAAGTGATGTCGCTCGGTTCAGAAAGAGCAAAAACGTATATTTACCCAATTTCATCGAAAAATATTCGCCGATTTTCAAGATATTATTAGACTTATACTTTTGTTTACTTTTTGGGATCTCCGCTGTTCCTAGCGACTTTATTTGAAAGTGCAGCACTTGTTGCGCGCAAAGCAGCATATACCACCGCGTGCTACCAAACGTTTTAGTAAAAGATTTAAAATAGTTAGATCTGCGCTGACGTCACTCACACATTCAGAGGGGGCATTCTAATGCATTAGCCCCTCTGAATCGAAGTGCTGCAGCTTTGAAATAAGATATTTTCGATTTGAGGCATTTCTTGATCTTGTGAGTGCTCAAACCGGTAAGTGCAAGCCAGGGACCCCATTTTGGCTATCTCAACTCAAAGCTAATGTTAAGGTCCTCCCCGTGGCCTAGTGGATAAGGCGTCCGTCTCCTAACTCGGTGGCAGCGAGTTCGCGGCCGGGAAGCTCCACGTCGTTTGACCCGCGTTCCTATATTAAAGGAAATAGTTCACTTTTAACATGGGGTTTTGAGCTGGAATAGCAGTTTCGTAGCTTGAGCTGAGACTAGCACAAATCAGGAGCATTTACGGCTCAACGATCACCCTAGACGAAGAAATTCCATTTCTCGTTCCGAAAAGAGTGCCTTGTAGAGGAATGCGTGCCTTGCACAGGAATGCAGCCACGTCATCGTCAGCCAATCAGCGTGCTGCTTACAGCCAATGCAGTATTCGTAGGTTTGAGCTACGCAATATGATTGGTCAATGCGTAATAAGCTTCCGCGTCAAACATTATTTTACATAGAATATAGTTCGCCCTATATTAAAATAAAGAAAATAATTGTTTTTACAAAAAGGTTTTATTTTATTTCATGATTATTTTGAGCATAAAAAATCATAAATCAATAGCAAAATACTGATTTCAGGAAAGTGGACTGTTTCCTTTAAGCCAGCTGGCAACTGGCGAGAGAGGGCCACGCTAGACCCGGGAAGACCGTGCCGCCATCTACCTGCGGCACGTTAAACTTTCGATCCAAATTATCACCGGTGAACCGGGCGCGGGCAAGGTGGGGTGGTGGGTCCGTGGTGTCATTCGCAACAAGCACTGCTTAGCGGGGCACCCGGGCCCATAGCCATCCATTCGGACAAAATTTCTTTAAAAAAAGGTGGGATGGTCACTTTAATTTTTGTTATCCCGCACCGTAGACAGTGTTTACAATCGCTTCACGTGCAAAGAGAGAAAATTATCAGATGTCTTGTAACTGACTTTTAAAACGTCTAGACTGGTCTAGACCAGTCTAGACCATAGATATAAGATCTCTATGGTCTAGACGATTAACCCTCGCCGGCACAGGGGGGGGGGGGGTGATGCAACCCCCCCTAAGGTTTTTCGCGAATAATTCGCGTAAAAAGCGGCCGATCGCGACGAAACTTTCAGTACCCTCGCATTGATCAATTTTACACCTACACTGTAAAAAATATTGACTAGCCCCTCGTCAAATGATTCTCAACGCTAAATGTCGGGGGTACAGACTAGTTTTGCATCCTACTTTTGACACACGCTGCGAGCCCCTGGCTTGTTTTGTGTTCGTCAGATGACAGTTACCAGGTGTCGGTTAGTTTTTACCACGTCCCAAAAATAGCTGGAGCGTTTCTGCCTTGTTTTGGAAGCAGGTCCTCGTTAATGCTGTGTGTGATAACAAAGTACCTAGTAACAATAATAGCGAAAAACAATGTCAAAACGAGGGCGGCTTGTTTAGTGACGATGTTCAAAAGAAGCACCGTCTTGTTCCTACTTAAAGGAAATAGTTCACTTTCACGAAATTATTTTTTATGCAATGGATTTATGATTTTTTATGTTCAAAATGATCAGCAAAGAAAATAAAACCTCTTTATAACAAAAGATTATTTTCTATATTTTGATATAGGAAGAACTTTTCAGTTTCTGTAAGGCACACGCGATCCAGTATGAAAAGAGCATGGGTCCCGAAAATTCTTCAGAAACTAGAGAACTTATCGCGGCCACCGGCATTTGGGCGATCTGCTCGTGCTTTTGTTACTGGAGCGCATCTTTCCCCGAGATTGCGCCGGCCGCCTGCCATGGACGAAAAATACACGACTTTGAAATCCGGCTGATCGTGGGAAAATACCGCCGCAGGTCTCGGCTATATGCAGGAATTCACCGGGATGTATAGTATATACCACTGCCTCGATGTATAGGCTATAGCCTGCAAGCTGGCTTTGGTGCAAACTGCAAACATGTCAAACATGGTATAGGGCGGATTGTCGATTGATGTAAGCGAATCAGACGTTCAATTGACAATTTCCGATTCTTATTCGATAATTACGGCCAATTATATTTTATTTTAGGAAGTGTTATTAGGAGCGGAGCAATAAAATCTCATTTCTCCCCTGTCTCTTTACTAGAGATGTCAATCGGATACCAACATTTTGGTATACCGATACCAAACCAATACCAACTTGGTATTTGGTATTTCAATCCTCCTATATTTGGTATTTTGTTGGTATTATGAACCCTCACTAATATATAAGAGGCTGATAAATTGGTATAAATTTGGTATTTGCCTCATGTTCCTAGGTTGGTTCGGTTTCGGTATTTCCTCACGGTTTTGGTTGGTATTTGGTTTGGTATCGGTATTCCGATTTTCTGTAATTGACATCACTACTCTTTACCTATCTCTCAAATCCCTTGCTCACTCATCTTTCCTCTCCATAGGCGGCGGAACGGGGACGGCACCGGGGCACCGTCCCCCCTTTGATTTTGGCATTTTAACATTAGCCCTATGGGCGTTGCATGGAAAGAATGGGACCAAAAGTTGGCAGTGCCCCCCCCCCCCCCCTTAATTGAAGGTGTTCCGCCGCTACTGTTCCTCTCTGTAGGTATCAGTCTCCTTGCCGTCCTCCCTGAAGTCTCTGTTAGTCTTTTCCTTCATACTTATCCTCCTTTCTCTCACCACCCTCTCTCTCTCTCTCTCTCTCTCTCTCTCTCTCTCTCTCTCTCTCTCTCTCTCTCTCTCTCTCTCTCTCTCTCTCAGTCTCTTTTTCTCTCTCAGTCTCTTTTCTCTCTCAGTCTCTTTTTCTCTCTCAGTCTCTTTTTCTCTCTCAGTCTCTTTTTCTCTCTCAGTCTCTTTTTCTCTCTCAGTCTCTTTTTCTCTCTCAGTCTCTTTTTCTCTCTCAGTCTCTCTCTCTCTCAGTCTCTCTCTCTCTCTCTCAGTCTCTCTCTCTCTCTCTCCTCTCTCTCTCTCTCTCTCTCTCTCTCTCTCTCTCTCTCTCTCTCTCTCTCTCTCTCTACCCGTCCGTCTGTCCATTTCTTTGTCCGTCTCTCCGTTCGTCCGTCCGCCCTTCCGTCTCTCAGTCCGTCCATCCATCCGTCCGTTTCTCCATTCTCCGTCCGTCCGTCCATCCGTCTCTCCGTATGTTCGTCCGTCCGTCTATCTGTCTCCCCAGTCCCCAGACCCCATCCGCCCGCCCGCCCGCCCAAGGCCCTAAAACAAACGAGTCCTCAAATTAATAGGTTAGGGGCATATGCCCCCCGGACAGGAGCCTGAGGGGCATTCAGTACAAGTATGCCCCCCCCCCCCATTCAGACTTACACTTCTTACGCCTATAACGAGGAACTAAATAAAAATTGATTAGAAAGCCTTCCTAGTAACTAGGTAGGTTCTTTTGTGATCAGAGTCGTTTTAGTAACCTCAATTTAGTTGTCATTGCGTTACTGTGCACTTTAAAGCAAACTTTTCGTAATAAAAATTAAGTTTTCGTCTTATTCCTGAAACGAAAACGTAAATTTCCGGCGATTTCTGGCGCTGCCGGGTTATTTGTCCCAAAAGCCCCCTCCTCCTGGATCTGCCAGTGGGGTATTGGCCCTGTTTCACCAGTGATAGCAGCACGCTGCATAGCTACGTTTGGAACAGAGTTGCTGTCTCGTTGAATGCGTTTGATACATTTGTTTGATCGCACGGCCGTGAAGATGTTAGCATCAATATTTCATGACATCACACAGTTTGACGACGCCATGGTTTGTTGATGTTTCCATGGAAAC